GTAAACAACATATGTGTGATTCATGCTTTCTTATCCAGTCAGCTACTCTGTGTCTTTTTATAGAAGTTTTCAAACCATTCCCATTTAAGGTGATAATTGATATGTACTTATTTATTGCCATTTTTGTTTAGTGTGGTTCTATTTTTCTTTCTATTTCTCCTGCTAATTACAGCAGTCCTTTTAACATTTCTTGCAGTGCTGGTTTTGTGCTAATGTATTCCCTTTTCCTTTTTTTTTTTTTTGTCTGGGAAGCTCTTTATTTGATCTTCTATTTTGAATGATAGCCTTGCTGGGTAGAGTAGTCTTGGATTCAGATCCTTGTTTTTCATGACCTTGATTACTTCATGCCATTCCCTTCTGGTCTTAGTGTTTCTGTTGAGAAGTCAGCTGAGAGCCTTATGGGGTTTCCTTTGTAGGTAACCTGTTGCTTACCTTTTGGGGCCTTTAGAATTCTCTCTTTGTCTTTAATTTTTGGCATTTTAATTACTATGTGTCTTGGTGTGGGCCTGTTTGGGTTCTTCTTACTTGGGGCTCCCTGTGCTTCTTGAACTTGAATGCTTTCTTCCTTTACCAAGTTAGTAAAGTTTTCTGTCACTATTTCTTCAAATATATTCTCTAACCCTTGCCCATTTTCTTCCTCTTCAGGGACTCCTATGATATAAATGTTATTACATTTCCAGTAGTCTCACAGTTCTCTTAAGCTGTTTTCTTGTTTTTCAATTGTTCTTTCCTTTTGGTTTCTGATTGGTGGAATTTTTCAACCTTGTCTTCTTATTCACTGATCCGTTCCTCAACTTCCTTTACTCTGCTGGTTAGTCCAATGTGTTCTTTATTTCTGCTATGTCATTCTTCATTTCCACTTGGTTGGTTTTCAATGTTTTTATATCTTTATTCATGGTGCTGATGATGTCCTTACTCATGCTGTTGAGTTTCCACAAGATCATGGCTCTGAACTCTACCTCTGATAATTTGCTTAGTTGCATTTTATTTATCTAATCTTTGATTAGAGAATTCTCTTGTTCTTTCATTTGGAATTTTTTTTTTTGTTTGTTTCACCATTTTGGCTACTTCAGTGGGTTTCGGAGGTTGTCAAATTGTCCCTGTGTGTGTTGGTGTTCTGCTGTTTGTGGCTCCCTCTACTGGGTTTGGATGAGCCTTGGTTGGCCCATGTTAAACACCACTGTTAAGTCTTACTTTCCTGGGTAGATTTGCAAGCCCAGGAATGATTCAGTTATCCTCTAGTTTTTTTCCTGGAGGCTAGTAATCTTAGTTATTCAGTTCCTTGGAATGTAGCCCTTGTGTTCTGCATAAGAGGATTTACAGAGGGTGGGATAGATGCTGATTGTTAATGAGCCTCAATTTGCATTTCTTTGCCTCACCTGGGAAAGGCTGAATCTCTGAGGGGAGTGGGGGCTGCTACTTTTCCCCACAGCTCTGGGAAGGAGCACACTGGCCACTGTCCTTTGTGGCCACAACTCAGCAAAATCTCTGATTGCCCTCCATATCCTGGGTGTCCCCACAGAGTTTCAACCCAGTTGTCCTCCCTCTGCCGTATCCACCAGGTGCGTGGTTGTGGCTATTTTAGTGCTCTGTCCAGGTTCTCAGCGCTGTGGAGTGGGCTTGGTCTTTATTCCCCAAGGGCATTGCTCACAGCAAGACTGCTGCTATCCGTGGGCTCCCAGCCTGCCACCCTCTCTTGCCTCTGCAGATCCTACCATTGTCCCTGATTATATAGTCCTGTCCTGCTGCTTTTCTGTTGCTTTTTTCTGAGGATTTGTCTTTATTTTATTTGTAATTCCCATTTGGTCCTGGGAGATTGTCTGTGTAGCTTCCATTTACTCTGCCTCCATTTTCACATCCTCTAAGCCTATCTTGTATGCAGCTGGGTCGCACAGGCCTCTCTGGTGCCCCAGCATCCTCCAGGTCCTGCGGATAACTGGATCGCACAGTCCCTTTGGGGACCCAGCTCTGTGAGTATGTTATGGGCTGCTGGGTTGCACAGGCCTCTCTGGTACTTCAGTACCCCACAGGTCCCATGGGTAACTGGATGGCATAGTCCCTGCTGGGTAGCACAGGCCACTCTGGTGCTTCAGCACCTCGCAGATCCCATGGTTAAGTAGATTGCACAGTCCCTGCTGGTTGGCACAGGCCTCTCTTGTGCCCCGGCATCCTGCAGGTCCTGTGGGTGGGCAGCTGGATTGCACCAGTCCCTCTGGGGCTCTGGCTTCCCACTGCTCTTGTGAGCTGCTGGACTGCACAGTCCTCTGTGGAGCCGCTGGTCCTGCAACTGGTGGCTGGGGAGAGCTGCTGCCCCGTGGGGCTCAACTCCTTCTCAGCTTTTGCTGTAGTTTTGGGGGATGAGTCTCAGCTGCTAGTATGTGCTTCTGTTGCCTAGGGATGAATGTCTGCTTCCCAGCCTCTGTTGCTAGGGGTATATCTTGACTTTGATCGGGCTGCTACTATGGGGGATGGTGCTGGACTCCAGGCCATCTGCGGCTTCTGCAACCAGCATCTTGGAAGCTCCACTACTGTGCACTGGTCTGTGTTGACACAGAGTGTCCACTGGTCCGATGGTGCCAGGTGCACTGGTAGTCTCAGGTTGCTGGGCCCTAGCAGCTCCCACTGCCTCCTCTCAAGGAAAACAAGGGATATTCCAAAATGGTGGGACCTCCCCGTGGCTCAGGGAGAAGTGCCCTGAAGAGCAGCTTACCAAGGTAGCCAGCTGCTCCCATCCACAGCACAGGGAACTTCTGCTCGGTGTCTCTGCACTGCAGGAGTTTGGTCATCCACCTTCACGTCAACACACACTCTCTCAAACACTAGCTCACTCTCTCACACACTCACCCTCTGTCCGGTCCTGCCCACCACCATCTGCTAGCTCAATAGTTGGAATTTAATAAGGGAAATAAAATTCACTATTTCAAAGATTTATATATTTAACTTTTTTCTCTCTTAGTGTCAAGTTATTTGCACCTAATCTGAGGAAAATAAAATAAAATTAAAATTAAACCTAAACTTAAAATAATTTCTTACTTTTTAATATAGTATCTATTAATTGGATAACATGAATTAAAATTATTTTATTGGCTGAGTCTAACTCTAGAATATATAGAAGAATTGATTTTTATACTTTAATCTTCATGAAAATATATTAGTATACACTCTTTTTATTTCACATTAAAGATTATTTCACTTTTCAAGGGTCTTGATTAAAATGAAAAAATCATTCTGTACCTTTTCTGTTCTAAATTCAAAATCCCTATTCATGACTTAATAATTGTGAGCACGCATGGCAGGTATTATCTGTGTTTATCTCCTTCCTTGCCCCAAGGACAATGTAGCATTTTTGCTTCAAAATGAATCATGTTACTTTAATAGCAAAATGTGTAACCGCAGCTTATAGTATCACCTATATAAACACTATCCCACCCCTCCTGAGTAAAAAAAGGGAACACATGACTGCCCCAGGGACTGAGAACAACTCTGGTAAAGTATTCACTTTTGCAGTACAGAGATTGTTCCCCTCACTTTCAATTTGCTCATAATGGGGCAAACTGTGGTTTCATTTACTGAGTGTTAAACATTTTTATAGAACACTATAAATGGAACCATTTGGGCTAAAACACAAGTAAGTGCTTTTTATTTTGTAAAATAATCTGAATGCTTGTTTTGATACTTCAGTGGAAACGAGTTCAGTAGCCATTGAGTTCACTGCACAGGTAGAGGATGAGCCCTGTAATTAGGTCTGAACTGAATACTGTGCAGGTTGCACCCTGAATAAAGAGCTCCTGCAGAGAGGATCAGTGAGGTCTGAGATCCAGCATGTGCTCCACTTGTCCAGCACTGTACCTTGTTAGCTTGGAGGACATGGGGAAACCATCTCATTTGTCTGCTTGTGAAGAGGGGGGTGGCATTCTGCTAACTAGGGTGCTGTCTGCGATTACACCACATTGGCCAGCATCAATCATGGGTTGTACTTTTTCAATATGTGTTGAACAATTTGTGAGGACACATTAGAATACAATTCCTTGGATGAGATTTGGTGGTGCAAAATTAAATAAAATACAGAGTATCGTCTAACATACCTATATCTGGTTTAAATGTCAGTTGTGTTTTGTAGATATATCTGATGAGGAAGCTAGCATTGAATTTCTTAACTTGTGTTCTGTTCAGAATATTGCAAGAGTCATCCAGCTGTGTTTGGACTAAAAAAAAAAAGGTCCCAGAACCTGAGGTACCCACAAGTTGTCTCAAGTCTTCTGTGGGGTCTAAAAGGAGTGACAACTCTTTCTGAGTGACCAAAATACCCCCACATATATTTCTGAGAGATTACTACTGCTCGGGCACATTCAGACATTCAACATTCTATCTCAGCTGATACAGCTGAATGTTAAAGATGAGATGAGTAACAGAAGACAGAGGACAAAGCAACAAAGTTGAAAAATTAGAAAACTAAAGGATATGTAGGAAAAAGATGCACGGACACACCTTGTTTATGTCAGTATACAGTTAAAGAGAATATGCTCAAAGGCCGAAATGGTCCAAAAGACAATTATTAATGAATGATTATTCTTTGAATAAAATGTTTACTTTGCTTGCCCATCTCTGTACTAACAATCATTATACATAACAATAATGTCAATGCCAGTAAGTGCTAACATTTATAAAAGGCTTCCTGTAGGCTAAGCACAATGATATAGCTAAAACTCATGAATTTGAAGGTTACATAAATTTAGAAAATACCTTTAGTGAAATGTCATACTCTAAACATTAGGATTCCCTAATTGTCATCAGTGGTTGCTTAACAGCTCACAGAATATCCATCTCATGATTTCTAAGTGTGATCATTGCTTACTTAGAACTTGATTAATAGTCAACATTGTTGGTAGAGTGGATCATCACAATTGTATTATACATACACATAACATACATATGTAAACATACATTTTGTAAAAACACATTCATACAGGATACAAGACTATTAATTTTTCAAAAATTACCTTTTTGACATTTGCAAATATATCCATTGATATGATTTTCGCAGTTCACAACATTTAGATATGGTGATGAAAAACATTCATTTATCTTAATTTCACAAGATTGACCAGAACATCCAGGAAGACATCTAAGAAAGAAAAGTGAAAAATAATGATGAGTCTGTATGGTAGAGCTCATATTTACCAAACTAAGAACAAAATTAAGCACAAGAAGTAGTCATGTATTACAGCTAATTTATAAGAGATAATTTAGTTGATATTCACCAGCATTTTCAATGAAATTAAAGCCTCCTGATCTTTGTAGATGTAATTAAAGTAAGGATCATGAGATGATATCACACTGAATTAACTGGGTTGGCATAAATCCAAAGACAAGTGTCCTTCTAAGAAGATGAGACACAGAAGACACAGGCCATGAGGAAGGAGGAGAGTTTGCTGTCATGTAGCCCCATGCTAAGGAATAGCTGGAGCTTCCAGAAGCTAGGAGAGCTTAGCACTGTTTGAATGTGACTGTGCTGATACTTTGATTTTGGATTCCTGATCTCTACAACTGTGACCAAACAAATGTGTTGTATTTAGACACCAAATTTGTGCTAATTTGTTGTCAACTCTAGGAAACGAATAAAGAAAATGACTTTATCAATGTGTGCACAGGTCCATGTGTTTCCTCTCCTTAATTTCTCTCCTCCCACACTTCATTACCATATTACTAAAGGCCTGTTTACACGATGCAATATTATTCAGCACTGAAAAGTAATGTGTTATCAAGCTTTTGAAAGATCTGGTGGAACCTTAAAGGCATGTCACTAAGAAGTTATTCTGGAAAGGCTAATTACTGTTTGATTTGAACACTAAGACATTCTAGAAAAGTCAAAACTATGAATGCAATGAAAAGATCACTGGTTGTCAGGGGTGAGAAAGAGAAGGGGTATGAAAAGGCAGAGCACAGAGGATTTTGAGGCCAGTAAAAATATTCTATATGATACTATAATGATGGTTAGATAGCATTATACTTTTGTCCAAACCCATAGAATCTATAACACCAAGCATGAGCTCTAAGGTAAATTATATAGTCTTTGGGTGATTATGGTATGTCATTATACGTTTATCTTGGGAACAAGTGTAGTATTCTGGTGAGTGATGTCAACAATGGGGAATTCTATGAATATGTGGGGGCAGGAGGCATATAGGAAATCTCTGTACCTTTCTCTCAATTGTGATGTGAACTTAAAACTGCTAAAAAATAGTCTTTAATTAAAACTAGTAAGATACTACTAAATCATGAAATTTTCACATTGGGCTTTTAATACATACTTGATCTTCAATACTGGGGCAAAGGGGCATAAAACACAAATTGATTCTGATGCAGAGCATTAAAAAATAAAACACTAAAAACAAATTCATTTTAATTAGAACTCAGAATAAAACGTCAGAGAAATTCAACATTATACTTCCATCTAAGTACTTGATTTAAAAAAGTTAGTTTAGCCCTGGCCAGTTTGGCTCAGCGGTAGAGCGTTGGCCTGCGATCCAGAGAGAAACCCAGGTTCAGTTCATGTAGTAACTGAAAAAATAAGGTTCCCGCTAAGGACATGTGCCTTGGTTGCAGTTTGTCCCCGGCCCTGGTTGGGCCATGCGGGTGGCAACCACTCGATGTGTCCCTTTCATGTCGATGCTTCTCTCTCTCTCTCTTCCTCTCCACTCTATCTGAATAAAAAATGGAAAAATGTCTAAAAAAGTTAGTTTAAACTGCTATTAGCAGGTGGTAGAATTCACCCTTAAATAATTATTTACATTGGAAAATGCTTTATTACCTGTTGGGGGATAAACTGGAGTCATTTAATGTGGTTTGTAGCTATTTTGTTAAACACTTCACCTAGATACTTTCCTATAACCACTTCTTCCATGAGCTCTTCCTATAAACCCTTCTCTAGATCAAAGAGCAACATTGTGGTATTTCTTTTCCATTATCTTCTATCTTCTGTCTTTTTTTTTTTATACTGAAACATAGTAAAGCATAATCTGGTGTTGTCCATGGAGTGCTCTATGGATTCCACCACACCAAAATCACTATTTAGGGCATTTATCAAGTTAAATTAATAAGCATATAACAAAGAAAGTCAATAGACAAATTATTAAACAAACAAAGAAACAAAAAATTAGTGTCTGGTATCATACAATTGGGGTGAGAAAGACTATAAATAGTTTTCAAAGACTGACTTTTAATCCCGTACAATCGATTCTATTCAGAAATCTTTTTCATTTTAGTTGAGGTATTGCAGCTGAGATTTAATTCAACACACACATTCACTAAACTCTTACTTGACTTTGAAATATTTACTTTTCATTTTAAAAAGAAATTTAGTTGCAGTCTGTAATATTCCATTTGCTTAACTTTGATAACATAATTTAGTAGGATGTAGTTTAATAATTGTTAAAGAAAAAACTACTTTATAACTTATTTTTTCAGTTGCAAAGCATCAACATTAAAAATATCTTTCAATGCTCAGAAACTAAAGCATTTATTTATTAGAATCTTTGCTAGAGCCAGCAATTCTCACATTGCAAAAGCTAAAAAGTGTCATATGGGTAAGTCACTTTATACACTTGCAGAAACTTCACAGTTCATTTCTATGACCTATTTTCTTTCTTTTAAATAACTAATGACTACAACTGTACATAAATCCATTTCCTGTTGAATATACCAAAATCTGAAGTATTTATCTCAGGATATTAGACACACCCTTTATTGATAACTGATCATGGTTTGAGTAGGGAGCCTCCAATTAAGAATCCACACATTCTGAACATAATTTCTACTTAATTTTGTTTATTTGCTTATACTTTAGTAAAAAACTCATACCTTATGGAATTTGGGCTTATTTTCATGTAGTAGCCAAGTTATTTTACATCTCTCTTTTCACTGTACTCTGATCTCATTTGTGATCAGGATGATATACCGAATAATTAAACTCAAACTGAAATGGTCATGTCCCTGATCTAGGTCATGGAATCCAAACATGTCTACTTATAGTTATATTGATGTGAATGATTATGGAGTCACAACATTCACTTTCTAAAATTTTTAAATTGATTTTGAGAGAGAGAGAGAGAGAGAGAGAAATAGAAACATCGACCTATGAGAGCAAAATATCAATCTATTGTCTCCTGCATGCCCCCTTCCAGGGATGGAGCCCACAACCCAAGTATGTGCTTTGACTGGGAATTAAACCAGCAACATTTTGGTGCACAGGTCAACACTCAACCACTGAGCCGTACTGGCTGGGATTGACTTCTTTTCTTTTATTGTTTCTATAGATAGTTTGATATTGTAAACTATCAGTTCCCTAGGAAACACAACAGACACCAGGTTGATAGGTTGAGATACCCTAATGGTCAGGCTGAACCAACGACCTGACCAGAATGGCCTTGGTTATCGGTTCTAAAGACATCACATTATGTTACTCATCTAACTATTTTCTGAATTATTCAATTGATCTCATTATATCTTCTAAATTTTTAACAAACACAGGTATTTGAAATCATTTGTTTGATGTTTTAGAAATGGTGGTAGATTGGAATCTAAATTATTGTATGTGGTTTCAAATGTGTAATTTAATTTTATTATAGCCTTAAGTAAATTGCATAAAGTAGAATTCTACTTGATATGTAAAATAAGTACTTTTATTACTATTACCTAAATTATGTATCCTAAAGGTCATTTTTAATTTAACAGTTTTACTTTTATCCTGAGTAATTCTATTATCAGTTTAATTTTGCATACAAGAGGAGAATATTCTCTGAAGATGATTATTTAACATAAATCTAAGTTTCTTGAGATTACTTGACAAATCAGAATATTGTCTAAGTAGCTGTTGAAACTATATATGGACATGTAAAATAATTTAAATTAAAAAAAGTGATAATAACCACAACTGTGTCCGTGATTAAGAATACATACATCTCAAAAGGAATTCATTTTCATAGGTATTATTTCATATGTTTTCAATGAAACTTGCTTTTGATTTAAATTTTGATCTTGAGAATAATTTAAATATCAGAATTCTAAATTGCTTTGGTTTGGAATGTGTCACATGCAGAAACTGAGATAAAGACTTAAATGCAGGTTATTTATTTGGGAGGTTATACCAATAACCAGAGTGAAGGAGGGGGGAGAATGAGACAGGGAAGAAATTAGGGTCAGTTAGGAATGCATTATGTAGCTTTTTGCCAGTATGTGTACCTGGGGCTCAGTACCACTATAATGGTTTTAAAACTCTGTCACACTTTTCAAAAGCCTAATTCTTCTCTCAGTGTTGGTTGTACTTAGTAATTCTTTGCTAATGTGTAGAATATGGTCAAAGTATGACTTCCTTGTTCTTCTCTCTTTAGTTCTCTCAAGCAAGCCAGCTTCTATGTCATGAAGATAATTAAGTAACACTATAGAGAGGGCCAAGTGGAGAAATAAAGCTCCTGGTCAACAGCCCCGAGGGTGAATTTGGAAGAGGATCTTTCAGTCCAATGCAAGTCTTTTTCGTTTGTTTGTTTTTTGTTGTTATCCTCACCCGAGGACACGTTTCGCATTCATCTTCAGATAGAGTGAGAGGGAAAGAAGGAGCAAGAAAGAGAGAAACACCGATGTGAGAGAGTCACATCTACTGGCTGCCACCCTCACAACCCCAACCAGGCCAGGGACAAACTGTAACCGAGGTATGTGCCCTTAGCAGGAATGGAACCCGAGTCTCTCTGGTTCACAGGCTGACACTCTAAACACTGAGCCAAATCGGCCAGGGCCCAATGCAAGTCTTTATATGATTGTAATCAAGCTGACATCTTGATTGCAGCCTAATAAAAGATGCCGAGCCAGAATCACCCAGATGAGCCGCTCCTGAACTCCTGAACTACAGAAACTGTGAAGTATTACAGACGGTCCCCAACTTGTGATGGTTCAACTTAATGATTTCGCAACTTTACCATGGTGCCAAAGTGGTACACATTTAGTAGAAACTGTTCTTCAAAGTCTGAATTTTGGTCTGTTCCTGGACCAATGATATGTGTCAGATACTCTCTTTTGATGCTAGACAGCAATAGCAAGCAAAGCTTACAGTCAAAGACACTATCACAAAAA